TTGGGGAAACATCACCAAGCCAGTCGGCTCCTTTCGAACATAGATGGATAGATTGTGAGAACCAACTTCAAGCTGGCGGAACCTGCCTATTCCCCAAGCAAAAAGTCAAACGCAGACAATAACAAACATATCCGCAGTGAAGGTGTCTTGACAACATGGATACGGTTCAATAAAGTCACTGACAAAGGGCACCCAAGTTTCCTGGCTGCCTTGCCAAGCTGCCCTGCAAGAAGCTGCACAGCATTTGCCCACGCCTTGGCCTGGCGCCCGCCCCTTCCACTCGGTGGCCCTTTGCCCTTCCCAACACCCCATCCAACACAAAAAAAACACTACCCAGGCAAGTCCGAATTAACATTTGGTCCGAAGCACTTCGGTAAGGATCATTAACGTAGGGATTGTCCCTACCATCCACTGACCCGGGTTTTGGATGTCTCCAATCTTGTGAGGGGATGCTGGCAAATCCCGCGCTGTTGCTCTTCCAAGCCAGCCAGTTTCGAAAGGGCATGTAAAAGAAGCTACTTCTAGCGGAAATCGTTTTTTGGACTTTTGTTCAGTTCCGTTCTAACCTGCGAGGAGAAACAGCTTCGTTAGGAAGCCAGCCATATACGGCTGAGGCGGAACGGAGCGACTATAACAATGGCAAATTAAGTGAGGGAAACACTCAGTGAAACAAGAAAGACTCCTTCGCGACCTATCGGTTCCGAAACATACCCTTCATCCTGTCAGATTCCATGTTGGTGGATGGGTGAAGGAAAAAACCTAGCCAGGGGTCCTAATGTTTTCCCCAGATAAGAGGGTAGCTGTCCAACCCGCCTGCTCCCTGCCTTCTTGTAGGCGCCCACCGCCTGCCTGGCGGCCCCAGCCGTCAGCGGCATGGGCGCCAGCTCCGGGCGCGGGCCCCGGGCGGCGCACGCCATGGCGACGGACTGGGCTCGGGCGTCTTGGGCTGCCGAAGGCTATCCAGAAACATCACCCCCCCTTTCCCGAAAGTTGGAGAATTCTGTTGGATTGGCCTACCACCACCCTACAATGAAACTTGCCTGACATGTAGGGTGCCCTGGAGAACCGCAGCGCTTTTGAGAACCATGGCCTGACTCCATTTCAGAGCCTCCCACCCCGAGCCTTCGGTGCTCACGAAGACACGGATGCAAGCTGCCTCGCAGGTCGGGCGGTCGGCGGAAAACTGCTCACACCCCAACCCAGAAGCATTTCGGGTTACTTGTTCAGGGGAGCTTGGTTTTGCTTGTGTTTATGTAGTTTTGTTTTTTGGCGATGGTAAGCACAAAGCGAGGACACATGCATACAGAAACATGGCCATGACACCAAATGCCATAACCATTTAACCATCTTAACCCCTCGCCTCCCAGGATTTGTGCGGGGCGATTTGGACACCAGCGCGCAAAAAATATCTGCTTTGCTCCTCCAAGTCATTTGTAAAGGTGGCCCAAATGTGCATTCTCTCAGGGACCCTGTTGCATGCCTACTTGAAATTGGCCATGTTTGAATGCCACGTTTATGCTCGACATGTCATGTACAAAGGGAAGGGTTTGGTAAGGCTCCACTTTGTAGGGAAGCTGACATTGCTCCGTGTGCACGCCAACGCACACATCTGAACATTTTGGGGTCAAGTCTGGTTCATTTCCACAGCGCATTTTCAGAAAACATGTTCCTTTTTTCTGTGAGGCGGGGGGGGGCCTCGCACCTTGCACAAGGCAAGGTGGTTGAACCTGGGGCCAGTGCAAGCCAGGCAGCTGGATGCAGGCTCCGCACTTGCTGGCAACAGGCTGCCAGCCGCTCCTACTGCAAGGCGCGGAAAACGTTTGCCACGCCCCTATTAAGAAATACGTTAGACCTACCCCCCTTGTCCTTGTCCAACCCAACTCTCTCTCCCTCTCTCTCTCTCGCCTTGCCCGGGGGCCCTTCAAGTGATTGAATGGTGCCCTTTTTCCCCGACAGCGTCTTCTACGGAGTGATTGCATATCCCAAAGCCCCCGAGTACTTCATGCCTGCTCAAGGAGTTTGAGTTTCAAAACGCGGACCTTCGCCGTATCGCATCGTCTCCCCTTGTGGGTTGTTCCCACGGCACGGGCAAAATCTGCCGACGCCAGTCGAGCGTGTAGATGGCAACGCACATTTTTTTGACTTTCTGTTTAAAGCCGAAGGCTTTTGGGGAAACCAAAATTGGGCAACATTTGCCGGGTGAGGGAAGTGGAGGGGGTTGCCTACGGTGTTGGGCAGAATCTGTACTCCCAGCATTATCAGCGCTGTCTTGGCGGCATGACTTTGGCCTTTGCAGGGCGATGTTGGATTTGGCTTGTTTGGGGTCTTGGTGGGGGGCAAGTGTAGTGACAATCTAGGGTGCTGTTCATTGGAAAAATACGTGTTTTCGCACAATTCCCACCTGTATAGGGCTGTCGCTGCGGATCATCCCCAGCATTATAACGCTTTTAGAGGGTATTTGAAGGGGGTTGCTGGCATCCTTGTTTGATGGTTGTTTTGGAAAACATGGAGAAAAACTGGTTTTTGCACGCTGCATCCCCGGCCTTGCCTGCCTTAGCAGCATTCCACCCCTAGTACTTGGCCATGTTTTGCGTCCGAAGTTCACGACATTGTGGGCTTGGGCATTTTGCCCGGCCTCCTGTACTGAGTTTTCACGACACACCCAGGCCATCTTCGGCTCAGCGGTGTTTCTACCTGGCCCACTTACTTACCGACTTACCCCCCAAGACTTTTTTCTCGGCCTGGCTCTGCTTCATGCCAACCATAGGAAGCCACGAACAAAAAATGAAAACCAGGAGGAAACCCACGGGGAGAAATCGAAGCCCTGCTTTTCAGAAGTTCCAAAAGGAGTGCCCTTGAAAATGCACGGAAAACCATCTGATGTTGCGCGCTTTGATTTATATCAAATCCGAAACCCACTGACTGCCTACTTGCCCCGCGCCCTTATGGGTAGACGTGCTTTTCCCGGCTTGGATCTGTTTCTATCAAACCAAATCCGAAGACGGCAGCAGGGTCGCACAAGAGAGATCCTCAACATAGACAGCCACGGCAGTCGTCACACCGCAGAGGGCGTCGGCGGACCGCGTAGCGATTTCAATAGTGTTCAGGTGACCCTGATCCTCGCCCAGCATGTTCTCAATACTCCCCTAACATCCCTGCAACACACAAACAAACAAAAAGTGATGTTGAAAACCACAAGAAGCAAGTTTAAAGCAACATTTACTCACAATTGGGAGAGTGGTACAGTTTGTCATTGCTTAGACCTTTTGTGTTGCACACGCACGGAACCCCCAACCAGGAAAATATATTCTGAGCGGGCGGCTGGGCTGTCCAAGTGGTGGGCCGCCATCCTCGGTTCAAGCGCCGAAAGCTGTACCCGAACAATGGGCAATGCATACTCCACAAATCCTTTCAACCGCCATATGGGCGTAACCACTTTGGTGGGCGCCGTTTGGGTGGGGGCGTGTCCACCAACCTTGGAGGTGGTTCTTTATTGTAGTTCAACTGCTGTACAACTGCAATCTTCACGAGGTTCGATCCTTCCAAAATGTAAGAAGCGATGGCTGCAGCGGCTTGGCGATTTCTGGAATTGGGGCGGCCTGGGCGGGGTGTGGAAGGCTTCCGGTTCCGGGCAGGTTCCAAGAAGTAACTTGGCGGCTGTTGTTAAGGGTTCTCTTTGTGCGCGTAAGAGACAGCTCCCATCACACCTTCTAAACAGCATCAAATAGATGTGGTTTGCCTTCTGGCTCCTCCTAACACGAACAAAATCAGCTTACGAGATGCAAACGTGGGCGTCTTTCTTGATGGCACCCTTTTTGTGGTTGTTGCAAAGGGAGACCAAAGAAAAACACTTATGGGGGCACCAAAAAAGACCAACCCATATAGCACCAAAGCGAAGCAGGGCATGAGAAAGCCAGCCAAGTTGCCAGTCAGGCTCTGCTTGCCGCCCCAAAGCACTGCCATCTACGAGGAAAACCTCAGGGTGACGACAAGCCGAGGGGCTGAACCACACATAACACGGGATCCTCGAAATCAGCTTGCAAAGGTAATTTTGGGTGTGTCTTTTTTTGGAGGGTACCATTTTCAGTCGGGTTGGTTTACAGGGACGTAATCCTCCTCAATGTGTCAGTTGGGAGATTCGATCCCTCGTTCTTCGTTGTTGAGCTAATTGTGACGCCTCTCCCAACCTGCACGCCAAATCCTCAAAGTGAAAATGCAAATTAAGTGGAGATCTCCAAGCGTCGCCCGATCCCAATTCCACTTTTCCGGGGATCGAACACCTTCCCCACACAGTCCCCAGCCGTTTGCTCGTTGGACGTCGCGTCCGAGCGCTGCGAGGACGCCATGCGAAACGCCACGGGCCGCGCGGATTCGCCGCGGAGCCGACGTGGCTGCTGGCCAGCGGATGTCACCTCTTCGCAGGGGCTCCTTCATGTGAGTCTTGCTTAGTGTGGGCTGCCATGGCGAAACCTGGGCTGAACCAAAGGTGGTTGAAGCCAACAGTTGCTGCGGCAGCGGGTCTTCGGTGTCCTTTGAATCTGCGGGCGTTGGACAACCCAAGTCGAATTATGGGAAGTGCCAAGACCCTCGTGTATGAACCCTAACCCTGTGATAACATGGCACACTAAAACGGGCCCTCAAAAAGAGCCTCCACAAACATATGTTATGGTTCCGCAGGGCGCTTGGCTTTGTCCCTCGAAACTGAGAAGCTCACCTGGACAAAGCCCCCGTAACAACGGTCCCTATCAAAGGCCTGCTTGTGTTCACCAGTGCCCAGCTGACCCAACCCCGGCCGAGGCCACTTGCGCCATCTCCAGCACGTCCAGGGCCTTCGCCCAGAAAACCCCGTCCTGACGAGGTGCGAGCCGGGGGATGCATACCGTGGCTGAACCCTTGGGGACCAAAACGAAAAATTTGGACCAGGTAAGCGTTGTCCGAATAAGTCAACCCCCGATATAAAACGAACACTCTTGCATTGACGGATGAAGCAAGCGCTGATTATCTATGGCTCACCGCCTCTCTCAGCCATGGGCTCTCATTTCAGCCTTCAAAGGATTTGTGATGTGTATATGATGCGCTCAGTGGCACACTTGGCAGAGATCATGGGCTTTCGCGATCTGCTGTCCAAACTTAAATCCATCCAAGAGGAACAGTTTGCATGTTTGAGGGGAAGGTCGTTATTGAAAAAGGTGGTCTTACAAGGATAACCCTGGTTCTCAATGGGCGGGGAGCTTCCAAATACAGATGTGTGTGTGTGGGTGCGCCAGCCTGGGTAATATTTCAGCATCCCCATCGCAAGGGCGGCAAATCAACCAAGGGCCCGCCACAGACAAGTCCACGCAAGCCGGCATAATGGAACACGGCAACACAAAAGCCCGTTACAACACTAGGCCTGGGGACGTGCAGCTTGGAGCAGCAGCGATATGCCGTTGGTTTCCTCGCGCCCTGAAAAGGACACCCCTCTCTTGTCGCAAATCATCAAGAAGAACCAGGAGTTGAATGCTAAAGTTGAATCCCAAAATGGCCACCCTCGCGAAGGGTTCTTTGGAAAAAACGGTTGCCGACTACACGGCTGACTTACTCAAACTGGCCTGACTTACACAGCCTGACTTACACAGCCTGACTGACGCAGCCTGACTGACGCAGCCTGACTTACGCAGCCTGACTGACGCAGCCTGACTTACGCAGCGTAGCTTACGCAGCCTGACTTACGCAGCGTAGCTTACGCAGCCCGACTTACGCAGCGTAGCTTACACAGCCTGACTTACGCAGCCTAGCTTACGCAGCCTGACTTACACAGCCTAGCTTACGCAGCTTTACTGACCCAGCCGAAGCTCGCAGCCTTTAACTTCTATCTTCTTTCTTAGCCGGGGGTGGGTCTGGCGGGGGCTGGGGGGATGAACCCTCTGCGGGGATCATGCTTGTCGGAGCGCTCTCGCTGTGGCGCCGTGCGAATCTCAAAGCTCGCGGACGAACCCTCTGCG